TTATATATTTATACATCTCATTTTTTGTATAAATTAATTTCAATTCAATTATAATATTGAAATTTAATATTTTTTAAAATATAATTTTTATTTTGTATTTTATTTTATTTTTTTTGTTTTATTTTAATATAAAGAATAAATACAATGATTTTATTCATTAAATATATAAATAATAAATATTTAATTAAATTATTAAATTTTATATACATATATTTGTATTTTGTATTTTGTCTTATTCTACTTTATTATTTTATATCTAATAAAATAATGCTAAAATTATATATAATGTATAATTAGATATGTTTTGAAATATTAAAAATCATAATAGAAAATTATTAATATCTAAAAATTCATTTATTACATTTATTTATTAAGAAAAAATTAAGATAAATATCACTTTGCTCAATTTTTATTTTTCTTTTTTCTTCAAATTTATCTTTTTCGTGATTTTTCTTTATTTTCAATAAATTTATTTCGATCTAATACACAATGTAAAAGTTTATTTGCTTTTAAATGGAACTGAAAGAAGATTGGTAGTGCTCTCACTGGCAAGTTCAATTTTTAGCTGTATGAGTGCGCTCGTGACGTTTTGTACTTCGTATAGCCTGTATAAGTTCTACACTTTGTGCACCAGTGGTGCCGCTATTGCGATTTGAGATGTTCGTTTTGGATTTATTTTTTGTAAAATCATGATATCATGTTCAACCTATTTTTTTATAAACATTAGTGTAAATTGTGTATAAAAATGTGGAAAAAATAATTATTAAAGTTATTAAATGTGATTAGTTTGTTTAAAAGTTAAATTAACTAGTGCAAGGTGTGATCGCGCGTGATTCGAGGTAAAGGAGATAGCTTCTTTCTACTCGACTACCTTCCATACTAGCTTTTACTAGTTGCCATAAGATCGTTTCGTATAAATGTTTTTTTTTAAACAGATCTATTAAGGCTTCCCTATTGACTTAGAGTGATTTAAAAATCAGGTTAAAAGGATACTGATTCTATTGTTTTCATTGTGAAAGTGTTGAACACATCTTCAAATGTATATGTTGTTTCAAAACATGTATGATGTGTGTGCATAGTATTAGCATACATTTTGCTATCAATAATTTTTATTATTTATTATTAATTTAAATAATTAATAATAATAATAATAAACTAATCTATCTAAAATATTAATAAAATAATAAAAAGCTATCTATTAGAAATATTTTACAATATTTAATATTTAAATATTTAATATTTAAAAGATCATTTGAACAATTGTTAAATGAAAATGTTTTTCTTTAAAAAATTTTTCTCTTAAACTATTTATTTGTGTTATTTTATTTAATTTTAATTTTTTTAATAATTATTTAATTATGAGGACTTTATATAAACAGATTTTTATATTTTTATATATATAAAATATAATAGCGTATATAGCATATAATAGCATATAAAAACAGAAATGCAAAATTATTTTATATCATATTATTATTATTAACATAAATAATTTTTAATTTATTATGTTATATTTTATTTATGTTATATTTTATTATAGATATTTTATTATAGATTTTATTATAAAATTATAAAAATGTATCACAACATAAAATTATAATACGTAATTTTTGGAATAATTTAAACTATTGAAATAATACATTTTAGATTACATTAGTTTTGAATAATTTAAATTTAAATTAAAAGGAAAAAATTTTAAGTGGCGCGAATAGATATAAATTTTATAAGTATTTATTAATAGCAGAAATTTCAATGATAAATTTTATAGTTTAATTATTATATCATATCATATGAATTAATATGAAGATGTAGAAATATAAAAGCGCGAGAAGTACCGTTTCTCAAAACGGTCGGTCGCGAGCGCGATGATAATTTGCAACGTAGTTTCCATACATTTAGTTTCAGGTCAGTTACGAGTTTCATCGTCAATGTTCATCATGGAAAAAAATATACTATACTAAATTATTACGAAAATTTTACTCTTTAATATTATATCGAGGTCGATTCGTTGTTCGCTCGAGTAGAAAATAAAAACAAAATAATCTTGTCTCAAATAAGATTTAGTTTTGAGATCGAAAAAACTTTGTCCTTGATTTCTACAAATAATTTTCTTAACCCTATAATAAAATTTTGAAGATTCGATCGAATTTATTTTGATTCATCTTTTTAATGTTATATTTATCTGTTATTTATTCTATTAAATTATATAAATAATGCTATAAGATTGATATTATATTACATAAATTAATAAATTAATAATATAATTAATAAATAAATTGCGATAATATCATATTATATGTAAAATGAAAACAACATAAAAACAAAAAAAACATATTTTCAAATATTAAAAAATTTATTATTGTTTCTTAAACTCCTTATATATTTTTCGTATATATTAGTATATTATAATAAAATTCAAAGAAAGATTTTAATTTGAATTACTTTAAACAAGAATGAAATAATAAAAGGAAAAAGATAAAAGTAATAATAGAAATAATTGAATAACGAAAATTATAAAAAAAGTGAATTTTATATTTATTTTGTATTTTTAAAATGTATAAAATGCATTTATTTATTTTATTCATTTTTTATTATTAAAAATAAAATTTAAGTTTTGATAATTAAAATGTGATTTTTATAAATCACAAATATCATAATTTCTTCTTAAAAATTTTCAAAAATTTCTAGATTAAAAAGTTTTTATTATAATATACAAATATAATAAAAAACTTAGCAATAAAATTTCAATTTAATAATCTCCAAATAATTTTTCATTATCTTTATAATATTATTTTTCATATTATATTAATATATTTTATTTATGAATATTTCAATATATTGCATATTTTCATATATGATCGATCTCATACAACAAATTTGTCTGAATAAATCTTAGTTTATGTACTTATTTTTCTTATTTATACTAGAATATCCAAAAAAAGCAAAGAAATTTATATTATCATAGTACATTTTTTGTTGACAAGTTTTCATATTGTTGACAAGTCATACATATGTTCATAAGAAATAATTGAAATGTTGATAAGAAATAATAGAAAAAATAAAATGAAATTGAGAGTAGGAAAAATTGAATCGTATATTACAATCTTACAATTTCTTATATAGCTTAATAAAAAGCAGCCATGGTTATTAATTCGTTTTCTCTTCGAACTTTTACTGTAAAAAAAACTTTTTTATCATTAATTTATGGAATATTCATATTTTCTTCAAATTTTATTTTATAAAAAATGTCTTTAAAAAACATACCTTTACCATATTATCATATTTCGATTTGAATAATAATTTCAATCAAATTAATTAATTATTGTTAGTTTTATCGTCAGTTGATTATAAATATTCTGAAAAAAAATTTTATTGTATTACGGGTTCACTTTTTCATTATTAATGAACAAAACTACAAAAATCACAGACTAATAAGAAAAAAAATACGAACAAAAAATTTTTAAAGATATATAACTAAAAAACATACAAAGAAAATAAAAAAACGACGAAAGATAAAAGGATTAAAATAGCATATAAAAACAGTATTTACAAAAACATAAGAATTGTGATTTTTAGATATTGATAGCGAGCGTTAACAAGTAGAGAATCACGAATGGAGAACGAAAAGCAAATAAAAACACGAATAGTTAAAAGTCAAAGGACAAGAAAAATATCTGTAAAGATGCAAGTAGAAAAAAATTTACATCATTATTAGGAATACTATAAGAAACAACAAGAAAGAAAAATTTGTGATATAGAGGAAGAGATATATAAAAAATAACAACGGAAAAATATGAAATGGAAAGAGACAAACGAAAAACAATAAATAGATAATAAGCGAATTGTATAGAATAAATGAAGAAAAACATATATAATAAAGGAATTGAATCAAAACGGAGAAAAGAGAAAGATAAAAGTATACTACGATAAAGATACACAATAATAAGCAAAAGACAAGGAAATAAAAGAAAAAGAATAAAGGAGAAGAAAAAAAAAGAAGAGTGACAGAACAAAAAAAGAAGTGAATAGTGTGGTTTTGGATTAAGATAATATTTAATTATCTTTAATTTGCGATAATAAAGAAGGTTGTGGAAGAAAGAAGAAAAGTGTATTACATCCTGGAGTCCGATGTTCAGAGTCGTACGATGGCCGGGGCTCTATCCGAGAATGCCCCGAGGCCTATTAGTGTCGTCGCGGTAAGCGGTGCAACAATTGATAATGCAAGAAGTAACCAGCTTAATAGATCTCAGGTACGTAAATTACAATTATTATTTTTTATAAACAAATATATATAACGAAAATTCGTTAATCTTTTTATGAAATTTTTAAATATCGCATTCTATATAAAATGAATTATTGTTTATTTAATTATTTAATATAAATTAACTTTTTTCACATTTCAATACTAAAATTCCTTTTTCAAAAATATTGAATATATTATAGAAATTTGATCATTGTTTTCTGATTCAAATATACAATTTTTACATTAAAAATTAAATTCAATATTTTGTAATAAAATATTATTAAAACAATAAATATTAGATATATTATTGATTAATTTTCTTTTATTTTTTAAATTTTATTTATTTTATTAATTTTTCAATGACTATTACTATTTTAAAAATTTTAAAAATATTATTAAGTTTGTATTTTTTTATAAATAAAGATAATATAATTTTGTAGGTGATCTAAATAAACATCTAAATAGACATATTTATCCTAAAATATAAATAGACATATTTATCCTATTTTCATTATTTATTACTTTTATGAAAATCATTTATTATGTATATTCAATTTCAATATATAATAAGAAAATGTAAAATATAAATCTTTAATTTAATAATTTAAATTATATTATATTAAAAATAAGTTAATATAGATATCTTTGAACATTTATATATATATATGTATATATTGTATTATTGCTTTTAAAATTTAGAATTTATATTATATATAAATCTTCTTTTAACAAAAAGAAAATGCTTATTAATTTGCTCAGAATAATTATTTTTATAATATATATGTAATTAATATCCAAAAAAATTTTTATCATTTTCTCATTAAAAATTGAAGAAATAAAAAAAATAAAAAAATATCGATTATTTTATGTGTCTGATTTTATAAAGATTTTAATAGATTTTAATGTACCGAATATAAATCTAAACTATTTTTCCAGAATAGTTTTTAAAAATCAATTTAAAAAAACTATAAATTTTTAAATTTGAAAGTTTTTTTATATTAAACAAATTATAAAATATTATGTTTTTATAATAATATTTATTCAATTATTCTTAACATTTCTGTAGATTCTTTCAATAAAATATAAATAATTATTAAATTAAAGGATTGATATTTTATTAATTATTTGATTATAAATATCTAAATAATATTTAAATAATTATTAAAATTAAAAGAACATTTTCAAAACATATTTATTTTTTTTGATATTTAAAATATATTTCAAAATTAAAGCAAAATAATAAAAAAATAAAATGATTTATATATTCCTCAATGTTTTATTTACATTATACAGAAAGATCTGTGCTGTATCGCATAATATGATTAAATTTTTTCTTAGATTCTTAGTTTTTGAAATAAATTTATATATTTAAAATTTTCTTCTAAATTTTTAGTTTTTAAAATAAATTTAAAAAATATCAATTTAAAATATGTTTTGAATAATCTAACTTTGATCATAAATATATTTAATTGTTATATAATATCTAAATCTAATTATCTAATACTTATATTATTTATATTATTCGGGAAAATTCACAAAATCATTTCGTATCATGGATAATTGAATATTATTGTAGAAATATTATTTAATTAAAATAGAATGATAGTTTAAAATTTTTTTCAAAGTTGTATTGATTTCGTTCACTTTGAAAAAAGTGAAAAAATGAAAAAAGTACTGACATTTTATGTAAAAAGTTAGGTAAAAATTCATCAATTAGCAAATTTTATTTTCCTATAACAGTTCTAGAGCGAGCAAATATTATATACACATAATCTGTAATCCAAATATCTATATCGTGATATTGCATGATAGATTTTTATATTATTTGATGCTGAAAATTATAAGCGTAACAAATACAATACATTTTCAAAATTGAAAATTTACAATTTTTTCTAAAATTTACTTTCCTGAAAACTGGGATATATTTGTAAATTATTTGAAAATATATAATTTATAAATATATCACATCATTATCATATTAAAATCTATAAGAAATGTCTATTGAAAATTATAAAATTGAAAAAAGAAAAGATTAAAGTTTAATAATGTTAGTATTTTTGATAGTATTTTTCTAAAATATAAACATCAATTTTTAATTAGAAGTTAATATTTAAAATTTTGTATTTGATGCATTTGCTGTTTTAAATTAATTATTAATCATTTAAAATAAAAAATTACTTATAACTTATCCAATATACATTATATTTGATTGATATTTTTATAACTCTCCTATTATATATCAATTATTTTTTAAAAATTTTTTAGGAGTTTCCATTTATTATCTTTTTTTATTCTATTATATATTTCTATTATATTGTATATTATAGAACTACATTACAAATTTAAAGAAACATAATTTTATAATCACAAATTCAAAAAAATACACATAATTGCATTTCGAAAAATTTTTCAGTTTGCTTAATTTTAAATTCTTTTAAATAGCTTTTTTATATCATATTATTATTATTACATATAATCCCTTAATATAAAAAAATTTTAAAAATATAAATGTTATAATATTTGGATTTTCTTTATTTATGTTTAAATAGAATTATTTAAACGAATAAACAATAATGTAATGTATCTATATTATTTTTCTTATTCCTTATCGATATATCAAGTTAGGTATTATAATTATTTATTTATAAATTTAAAAAAAATCTTTTTATCAATTATTTCTAATTTCATTTTTCATGAGTATATTTTATTATATCTGATATCGATTAATAAAAAACAATTGATAATTTAAATAGTACACATTATTAAGGAATGGAAATAATAAGATTAAGATTAATTATAAATAATTATATATTTCATTAATAATTATACAATTATACGTTAAATAAATGGTTTAAAATATTTTAAGAAAATTATTTTAAAAGGATGAATATATTTAAGTAATTATCGGAACTAATTGCAATAAAATTGAATTGATAAATCATAAAAAATTAATTTGAATGTATTAAATTGGCTAAATAAAAAATTAAGATTGATATATAAGAAGTGATCACTAGATCAATTTCTAATTTCATTTATTTTTATTTAATTTATTTTATATAATTTATTCTCTTTGAACAAAGGAATTTTAATGAATTTTCAAAATAGAAATTAATTTCGTAGATCTTATTTTAAAAATCTTTTAGAAAAATGGAATTAAGAAAAGTAAGATCTTGGATTTTTGGTAAGTTTTTTATAATTGAGATATACGATATTTTATTATATGGAATATTAAATTGAAATATATAAAAAGAAAAGATAAATAAAATATAATAATAATAATAATAATAATAATAATATATAAATAATAATAATATAAATATAAATAAAATATGATAAAAATAAT